AAGTATTTACAAAATCGAATACTGCCCAGCTCTGATTGTAAGTATATAAAAATAGCGCAAATTCAAGTTCTTTTTATTTGTGGACCAATTTTTCTGAAATTTTAACAGAAGATGTTTCTTATAAAAGGTATTCTAAGGATTTTAATGGTTTTGAGTGTTCTAAACGTGTTCATTACATTCTATTCTAAAAAGATACTGAGGAGATCCATCAAAATCGATTGTGTGTGAATGGTTCTGAGGATTCTAGGAAGATCGGCAAGAGATTACAGGGAGATTCTAAAAAGAGTCTGAAATCCGAAGATGGCCCTGAGAAGGTTCTTCCAATTCTATGAGAATATTCCAGGATTCAGAAAAGGTTCTGAATATTCTAAAGGTTCCAAAGATTCTAAGACACATGTGAGAAGGTTGTGTTGAAATATTAAGAAGATTTTAAAAAAATTCTGAAATGGTTCTATAAGACAATTTCAACAAGTCTCTAGGATTGTCCTAAAGTCTTTTACGCCGTGAAGATTTCAAAAGGATTTCCAGTAGGTACTACTTTAAGGTTGATGATGGCTCTAAAGTCTAAAGGTAGATTTCAAGATTGTAAAATTGCGAGTTGTGGTGTTGGATCTCGGGACGTAATTATTTGGCAAAAATCTAGAGGAAATGGCTATACGTAGCAACGACATTTGAAATTTGAGCTCCTAAAACGGTTTCTAAAACTCGGCATGTAGTATAACATTTCGGTTGAGGTTTTAGATCTTAGGACCCAATTATTTGAGTCTCAAAGGCCAAAATCTGCAGCAATTGTTTCTAAAACTTTGCACCATTTTCAAGACCTTTATTTCAAGATTTTAAAATTGCGCTTGGGCGATGTCAATTATTTGACCCTCCATAATGTAAATCTGGAGAGTATGACAATACGCAGTAGCGACTTTTAAAACCTGAGCTTCTAAAATGGTTTCTACAGTTTTGCACCGTTTTTAAATCCCTCTAGATTATAAAATTGTAGGTTGTGGTGTTGAATCACTGAACCCTTAATTTCAACCTCAAGAATGCCCAAATTGGAGGGTATGGGACGATATTCCAAACATTTTTCTGATCGTTCGATTTCTTGTGTTACCTTTCAATCGCACTTTTGATTCATATTTTCCCCTTTCAAATTTTCCAAATGCTTCAGGCTCCTCAAAGCCGTTCTGCTCCCCTTTTGGACTCTTTTGATTCTTGAAAACCACCAGATCTCTGAGATCCCTCCGTTTCTTCAAACACCTTGGATGCGTCCAATTTTTAGAAAAGCTTCCAAAAGGCCGCACCGACTTCAAATCGTTCAAACATCTGTAAAGGCCGAAAAGAGGAAAAACCACCTTTTGTGGCAAATGTTGGGGTACGCGGAAGCTATTTACCTTTTTTACACTGTTGGCTACTAACGTTGTACCTCCTAATCAACCCCTAAAATTATTGATTGAAATTATTAAAAATATTTCGAAATATTTCTCTATAGACCCATGTCCCTGATTCTGAAGATTCATCACCTTCCTCATATGTTTAGGATTCTTCGAATACTCGTAATTTCCAACCTTCCACTCTCCCTTTCATTTCTTCGAATTCTTTCCATCTTTCACTTTTAAAACTTTTAATTTTTTAATACTGTTAGATGTTATTCTTAGGATCTTTTTTTGATTTTCGATTAGGCAAAACTTCAATGAGTATGTGTATTTTAACGATCATTTTAGATCAAACAACCCAACATTTGAAATTTGTTCAAAGACTGTTAATGTGGAAATGCGCTTTTTGTAAATCGTTTACGATTGTTTCCTATTATAAACGTTCTGTGATTAATTATTACTTTGATCATGTTAAGCAGAGCACAAGTACAGACGAAATGTAGCCTCTAATATACAGGGTGACAATTTGAAAACTTACCACCCCCCATATCTTAGTAAATAAACGAGATATTTAAAAAAGTCAAAATCCGTTTCGGTAATTCGGAGGGGGAATCACAATGACATAGTTGGCGACGCACCCCCTCACACCCCCTGCGCCCCAGCCACCCCAACTTTTAAATCTTAAATAGTGACCCCCCATGTGTGATACGTCGTTGGAAAGCTCTGAAAAAATGCTTTCCAACCATACCAAATAGCATTACATTTAGGTTAGTAATTATCGTGCAAATCAAAAAATAAACTAATATGATACATTTGAAATCTGTCGTATTTAAAACGCAACCGGCGAACATAGACGAACTAAGACAGAGAATAATTCAAGAATGTCGAAATATTGCAAAACCAACATTGGAAAGGTTCGACAAGAGTTTGAGAATAGATTATAACTGGCGATCAAAAATGAGTTGCTGTCGAGTCGGCTTTGGAAGTTCAAGTTAAATACGATTTTCCATGTTGATTTTTTGATTTGCACGATAATTACTGACCTAAATGTAATGCTATTTGGTATGGTTGGAAAGCATTTTTTCAGAGCTTTCCAACGACGTATCACTCATGGGGGGTCACTATTTAAGATTTAAAAGTTGGGGTGGCTAGGGCGCAGGGGGTGTGAGGGAGTGCGTCGCCAACTATGTCATTGTGATTCCCCCTCCGAATTACCGAAACGGGTTTTGATTTTTTTAAATATCTCGTTTATTTACTAAGATATTGGGGGTGGTAAATTTTCAAATTGTCACCCTGTACATTTTTTTGCGTTGCCTATATCTGTAACTTTAGCCTTCCATTGTTTGTAGCTCTTTCTTCTGTGTGTCTCTTTCAAGGTCTCTTCGATCCATTAGACTTGACTCTTGTAACAGGTCGCTTGAGGTTTTAAAGAATTTTTCTACAAGTTTGCCTATATGGGAAATTATGTATGTATACCATTTAATGATGAAAGAGAACAGAACTATTATGCGAGAAAATGGAGCGCGTTAAGATAATGACGAATGTTCAAGCAAATAAATGTCGAAACGTTATACAGTGTTGGCGGTTCTAAAACTCGTTGCCACGGAGCATGCATAGGGCATTTTTCTCTATATCTACCCATATAGAAAAACTTGGGCGGGGGGTGCCCAAATCGATGAATAAACTATGACAAATTTGTGGGAGAGTATGGCATTATTTACCAATTTATACCAAACGAATTTATTGAGGTTGGTGCCTTCTAAATTTGTTACTAATATAAGTAAACTAATATTATGTGACTGGTTTATGCCGAAAGGGAACTTCATTGCGTCGCGGAGGCAATCCGCTGAGTGATACGTTTGAAGACGTACGCAAATTTATCTGTTTCGTTGCATTGTCGGAGTTACCTTTTTGAGTAACAATAAATTATAACTACAAAAGGCGCTGGGGTTAAATGACAGAACGTTTCATTGCGCTATATTTTGAGTGATTAGTTATCTTAAAAAACAAGTTTATTATCAAAGATATTTGTTTATACGAGGAGCGGACAAAATTATAAATAAGACCGTAACCGGTAAAAAGGTTAAAGACAATTAATTCGTGCTTTTGTTTGCTGCTAAGTTATAAAGGTACTGAGGAACATTGGCAATTTATTACCGTGAATAAATCAAATATCAACTAATGAACAGCGAGTAACCTGAAGCAAGTTTGTCCTAAATCAAATTGCGTCGACCATCTTTTGAAATTAATTTTCAACGAGTAACCAAATTTCAGCTAGCAGTACCAATGGTGCGATTGTATGGCACAAGACGTTCTACCATCCTATTTTTTGAGTTCCTGCTAACTTTCAACAGGAGAAAACCTCGACGCATAGATAAATGTAAGTTATTTGCATTATTTGCATTGTGTAAAAACAGGAGTCTGTCGTTTTTGGGGATTTTGTATAATAAACTTGTTTGAGCAAAGTCAATTCAGTCACTATTCACCAAACGTGACTTTTAAACCTATTTTGAATTTCCACACAGCGTCTCTCTGTTTTTGTTAATATTGTTTGCATCCTCTACTACTTTTCTGCTATGGTATATTGTGTGGGAGTCCTCTGGCATGTACTGAAAGACCCTTGTTTGGATGATTAGATGAAAGTTTACAGAATTCTACTTCGAAACTGGATTTTACGAATTCGGCAAATATTTAAAAATGAAAAATTTTTAAGTCCTGCCAATTCTCTTGTTTATATTAAACAAGGTGATATTCGAATATTTTACTAAAATCATAAGATAACTCGGTTACTGGGCATATTTCCATATGATAAAAGCTCTTCCACGTGGTTGGTCTCTGTTCATTCATGTACTTTCTGCTATGTGTATTCGTCTGAAGTGTTGATAAATATAAATATGCGATGAATCCTATACAGTGTGTAAAGCGATGGGGTATACAAGAGGGAATTTTTTTTTAATATTGATTTATGAAAAAAAATTATTCTTCATAATATGTTTTGCTTGCTTTGAAAGTACCAATAACGTTTCGATTGTTTGTGGTTTGATAGCAATACTCTATCTTAATTATAATGTAGAATGATAACTTTCAATAAAAAAATTAGTTTTATTATTTTTCCAGATTTCTATAAATAAATTTTAGATTATCGAAACGATATTGCTACTTTCAAAGCAAGCAAAAAATATCATGAAGAATAAATTTTTTTCATAAATCAATGTTTAAAAAAAATTCCCTCTTGTATACCCCATCGCTTTACACACTGTATATCCGTTTGATATACCCGGCAATCGATGGAGATCCAGTGCAACCTCAATGAAGGGTACCAGGATCCTACCACAATTAAGAAACAGTTGATTTATAAAATATATTGATTTTAATTTTTGGCTATTTGTTTCATTTTTTGGGTAAGGAAAATTTTATCATCAAGGCATTTGAAGGGCGTAGGGTGAAGCATAGTAACCATTATTTTGAGATTCAGTAAGTTATCCGCTCGACCATTTGCGTCACCCTTAGTTGGGTACGTACATCGTAATTATAGACTAATTAATATTAGGTATGTGGAAGAGGTTTTGTTCAACAAACTCTGGACACTTTATTTATTGATTGTTACAATGTCTGCTAACCTTAATTAACCACTTAAGTAAGTAATTTAAATTGAATTAAAACCAACTCATAAGCTACAATGGCCACAGCAATCTAAAAAGATTTTTTGATGTCGTTTTGGAATCAATGACTATACTTACATTTAGAATCAATGGTTTCTTTAGATAAAATAATCGTTTCCCCGTAAAGATAGGTGGATCTATATGAATTTTGTATAGGAGCCTTTCAACCTGAAAGCATTCGTTTGAAACGGATCAAAAAAACATGAATCAGTAACCTCCACATTGTATGCTTCACTTGAAACACAAAACAATATCTTCATTGCAGCTCGACCTTCTTCGTTAACGCTTGCTGCATACAAGGAAACGGCAGTTGTGCGAAAAATCAGGAAAAGAAACGAATATATAAAATACACACGACTTGTATCAAAACCGCCACCGTCCTGCCTATATAAATTATTATTAATTAAATATTGAGAAATTTTACTCACAACAACTTTATACTGTTGTACAGTTGTACTAATATAACAAATACATTATTACTGAAAGAAAGTAGAAGTAGGTTGCTTATATAGCCATCTACCAGACTGCATAATCTACAAACGCTGTCATAATCGTCTCGTATCTTTTTCCAAATAGCAATGTTTCGTACCTAAGCAAAATTATATAGATATACAGTGCTATTTATTAAGAAGTAGACATAGGGATTTATGTGTACTTATTATTTTTTCCTATGTCTACCTTTAAATATCAAAATTTGTAATTTTATGCAACCAAAATAACTTCTTAAAACAAATACAGATCTGGCTGTCCCATTAATTAATTTAAATATTGTTGCTTTGGTTTCCGTATTTTTATTTTCGTTCGTGTGCGATGTGTTCAACTGAAGAAAAAGCTGATTTTGTCAATTGGTTAGTGTAGTTTAAGTTTAAGGAGCGTAAGAGATTTATTTTCTGTGAAGCCAAAGTAACTAATTAATATAACAGCCAGATGTATGTTTATTTTAAAAAGTTACTTTGGTTGCATCAAAATTAGGCGCCCTTCAGAAGAGATTTTGTCTTTTGAAAGTAGACATAGGTAAAAACAATATACATAAATCCCTATGTCTACTTCTAAATAAATATCACTGTATATCGTCAATAAAAGAAAGAAATGATATTTTTTATCTTTTGACTGAAACAAAAAAGTAGTGGTATTAGAACGTACGTTGCTGTCTATCTTCGTGTCTACCGCATTTTGGATTCCTTTATTGATTTGCCGATACTTTTCTGCTAAAGATGTACTTATTATCATTAACAGCAAATCACTGTAGTTCCATGTGAAAGTGCATGTGAAATTAATCATCTGCAACAAATTCAGATGTTAAGCTCTGTGATCTAAGAATTTATTATTTGTACATAGGTAGTACATTACGTCCTCGTCGGTCGCACCAATATTCAGTTAAGAATTATACTTACGTAAACTATTACGCCTGTCCAAATAGAATATGGTATACAAGTAAAAATAAAACCAAAACTTTGCTTCAGCAGATCATTTACCGACCATTCCTCTGGTAAAACGGAAACAATATAATAATTAAACATAAAGTGTTCGACTACAAACAACAATTATGCATGTTCCCACACCTTCATCTTACCAAAAGCTGCAGAAAGTACCACTACAGTTATAAGCATTAATCGATGTCGTAAGGAACACAAAGTAGCATGTTTGCCAGTCACTGCATCCGTATCGCACCAATTTCGCATCAGCTTAGGCCACGACGAGGACATCACTAGTAAAATGGCACAAGAAACAAAACAATGAAGGAAAAAAAGTAGCGTAACTGCAAATTTAAATCGGAAATTAACAAGATTTGTATAGCTACAGTAATACCAAAGTATCTAAAGATGAACTTGGGGACAAAAAACCACACGTAGTAAACATAAAGGGCGATTAAGAAGAATATCCCCATCAGAAAGGCACAGTTGTGAATGACTTTGAGAGAAATCCACTTAAACCGGAGCCGCCCCACATCCGATTGCGTAATGCCATAAACTGGAAATAAGGAAAAGCACTGGCCGATAAATAAACTGAAGATGAAACATTCGTGGGTCGTTTTCATTTTTTCGAATTGTTTGAAATATCCTCGGAAGGTTTTCATTATGTTTACCCTCATCGTCATCATGCTATGATTTGTTATACGTTTTCGATTATTTGGAAAGTTCCAATTTTCATTAACGTGAAAGCTTTCGATAATTTTTTACTAGCATATCGGTGTTGACAACCGATTTTTGTTATGTCCAGTTATAGTAAGTAATTAATGGAAAGGCGTTTGAGTACGATTTGCTTTTTGATGAAAAGGCTCGTGAAAAGGTCATTTTGAAATAAAAATAGTCTAGGTATTTGGAGAAAACGACCCGCGTTACCTCATTTTTGTTTTTTTTTGGTGATCCATTTTGCGCCTTCCGGTTGGATGACGTAATACTAACTTTCGCCATCAAACAAACCAACAAAAAGCATAGTCGTTTATTGTATGTTTAGTAAATTGTGAATCATGTAAGTGTTCTTTTATGTAAACACTTCAGCATAATGTAACCAAGGCAGAATGGGAAAAACAAAGCATACTAGGGTATTCAAATTTAAAAAATTAGATAATACCAAAACATTTTCAAATAGACCATAAGGGCCTCAAGAATTACACAGCTTTTTGATTTTTTTCTGGAGAACCAAAGACGCCAAAGAAAGATGGCACGTCTTTGGATGGGATATTAGATACGCACTGTAGTGTGGTCACTATTCAGCGTTTAGAATAGAATTAAATAACACTAATAACATTTTTTATATTTTATTAAATGACATATTCAAATTATCACCATGTAAACTAACTCAACTGTTTTAGATCCACTCATGGATCGCCACAGCACTTTCCAATTTTGCAAAAAAATTACCAAAATTTCGTCCCCAAGATGTGCGGCAATTGACAGGAGTAGAGCTTGGCTCTTACCTCCGGTTTTGTGAATTCATTCGAAGCTGTCATCGTGGAAACCCAAACAAATTAAAATATTTTATTCACGAATGACGCCACATTTCATGGCAATGAATGTCGATCTTGTAGATTAATCACTTGTGTTGGGAATTTTGGTTAGTGGGTAAATTTCCTCAATTTTTTTTACTGATAGTAGGATGATTCGTCAACAATAGAAATATTCCATCCAAACATCCAAAGGTTCTTGATGGGTCTTGTGCTTCTCAATAAAAAAATGAAAAGGGAATGTAATTTTGAGGACTTTTTTGAGGGTAGCTTCCAAACTAACTAAAATATTGTGGTTTTAGTCTCCTCTTTCGCTCGGTTTTTTGGTACAACTCAAACGCTTTATAATACGCACTCACTTACTACTATAAAATTCGGAAACAATAGCTTACCCACAATATAATACCCTTCCACAGAGCATAAGGCACGTGAGTGAAGATATCACCAAACATAAATATCAAAAATTCTGAAGCATTCCAATGCTTGGGCAGAAACGGGATAACTCTTACGCTAACATAAAATATATACTCCACTAAAAAAAACATCGGCAAAATTAAAGAAAGTACCTTTTATACTCACCAAGCGCGGCCGATAATACAATCATCAACAGTACCCTCACTCGAATGTATAACTTATTCAAAGGTTCGTAGTTGCTGAACTTCTTGTCCAAATTATTCCATTGCTGTATTAAAATAGGCCAGCTTCTGGATAACCATAGGAGTAATAGTGAGGTACAACATGACACTGAAAAAAATAGTAGCGGTCCTATGCGTGAAAATGTTTGATTTCCCTTTTGAATTGCCATTTGATAAATATGGAAGCAAATAATAAAGAAGTTGCCTATGATAAATGACAAATTGTACAAAAATTTCATCGAGATCCACCTGAACTGGACATTTTCGACGGTTGTTCTGCAAATTTCGTGAACAGGAAACAGCGAGAAATATTGCCCTATCCGAAATAAAAAACTAAAACAGTTATGAGTGGATGGGTTTCTTGGCGAAAATTTTGCCGCCATTAAATTAAATTGCTTAAACACTGCCCTTCTCATCTCATACACCGCGCCTAATACAAATACCCTCTAACGTCAAATGCAGCTGAGACTAAATAAGAATTAAACTTACCTGGATGATTGTTATGTTATTGATCGGCTGTTAATTACGTGTTGCACTTGCAGTTTTATTTGCACAAGCACAACGTATTTTTCATTTGTAGATCGTGGTATATGACCATCTGAATGGGTTATGCAGAAACAACATTAAACATTTAAAATGTTTGGATAAGGTCGATAGGTAACTTTGAAATATCAAAATAACGAATATATGATTCTATATAATGGATTTTTAGAATACATCACACATGTACCCCATCTGAGACTGAAACAAAACAATTCACAGACCTCAAAAGTTTCGTTCCATTTTGCGAAAAGCCAAGCGCGTGACGAAAATGCGGGTTTTGAATTGGTTAAGAGAGCAAGCTTTCCACAAAAGTTGTGTTCGGGAAAAACGGGGTCGTTTCGTACATGGATTTGGCGAGGTATTTAAGTAAAAATATGGTGGGGGAGCGGCATTCTTACTAAAATTTCCGAAGAGAATCTATGCCGGTCGAGGGCTACTTTGTTTCAACCGCGTATTGATTTTTAGCCGAATTCTCTACATAATGTGAACACATAATAGTTGTCCTCACAATCGGAGACAGTGTCTAAATTTGCTACGAGCTGCCAGCAGAAGTAAATTAATAATACGTGGCTGGTTTATGCAGAAAGAGAACTTCATTGCATGAAAGAGGCGATCAGACGGTTACTATAATTTTCAAACGTGAATATTGCAAAGAGTTGCCGCATTAATAAGCATTTCGCGTTTAGGGGCATATAATTGTGACTACGAAAGCTTTTGGGTCTAAGGTCCAAAACATTCCGTTGTGCCATATTTGTAATGGAAAGTTACGTAAAAAATCAATTTATTAATTAAATTGTATCCAATTCCAAACAAGACTAAACCAAAATGTTCAAATACGTATGTATATAAACAACCACAGAGAGATAATAAATTGCGTAGTTTCAGATTTTCATTCTATGTATACCATGGGGACATCACATTACTCCGTATTATAATTAAGATCCTTAAGTACGTCGGGACATTTGTTCATCGTCTATTAAAGTTTGTCTATACGTTATTATTCTATAAACAACCATTATACCTTTTCAATTTATAAACTTTTATAACGTCGAGGGACAATTTGTTATCCTACCCCTAGTTTAAAGGCAGCTTCGAATATAATGCTTCAATACACTAAAATAAATGTAGAGTGATTTGTGAAATGTAAGTCTCCTTACACATTTAAACTGTAGCTATATGACAAACTAATGGAGTTACAGAACGTGTAACTATGGGGGCGGTGAAAACCAGCATGCTGACATGTCCCCTTTTGAGATATATATGTATTACAATTGTATTATTTTATATATCAATAAATGATATTATTATTATTAAAGAGAAAGTGGAACAGTTAATGGAGTGAAAATGGGTTACAAAGCATATCTGGTCCACAAGAAGCTACGATACGGCAACATATGTGTTTTATCAATAAAAAATGATGTTAGGTTACACTCAGTCAAGGTGTCCAACGAAATTTTGTATAACTGACACAAGCGATTATGGCCAAATGCTAGAAAATACGTCCTCTGAGATCTTGAATAGTGTAAGGTTTTTTTGGAAACGAGCATTTTATACATATTAACATTGAATACCTAACGAATTTTGGTTTTACGTTCAAATTGTAGGCAACACATCATACACTAAGGTTCTGTTTCATGTGTAGTCATTGAATAAATTGAATTTTTTATTCAATGGTGTAGTTTACTTCCATTTGTCATAATACTATTTAATTGCAAAATCGCGCATCATACATATATTCTTACATGGCCACATTAATGATAAGAACTAAAGTAACTCCATTGACGTTGGGCAAGCATCTCTTTTATTAGGTTATTTGTATTTTAGGTTTGACTTTTTTAACTTTTTTGAAATGCACATTGTAGTTTGTACACAAAATTCATAATGAAGGTAAACAGTGACATGAACTAGATCCACCAAACGGAAAGGGTGTATTGAAAATCGGAGTTACTCTCTGTAGCCGCTCGTAACGTCCAGGCTGAGTAACATTGCTATGTAACTTTGCTATATAACTCTGCTATGTAGCTGTTGTTAGTGTTACAAAACATGGTGGACTCATTTATTAGAAGAACTGAAACGAGACGATTTCGGTTCCATCAATTGCGGAATCGCTTACAGGGGAAGCTTTAATTGTTTGAATGTGCGACACTGACATCAGTCGTTGACACTGTAAATATAGCAAGTATGGAGGCGTTTGTATAACTTCTTTTGATCTTACCGACTCGAGACGGATAACATCTAGCAAGTTATATAGCAAGGAAGTTTACTACATTTCAGAGACTTGCTATAACTAGACTGCGCTTAACGTATCTAAGGTGTTGTCGACACAGTATGCAACACACAATGCACCGCGGGGCAAAAATCGCAGAGATGATGTGCAATATAATGAAATAAGCTGTTATTTTAGATGTTCCGTTCATTAATCATTCTCGTGATTAGCTCGAGTTAGTGAACAGATAAATTTCTGTTGAGAATAAACCAATAAACTTAGGTTAACTCGTTCCTATCAACATGTACTCTGCCGATAAATTTTTAAATAATATGCTGATTTTCAACGGATAAAAGTTTAAAGGGCCAATGGATCAGAGCCATTCGAAGAGAAAAATTTACTCCTACCATAGTGCATGAATGGATGAATGAAGCCGATTTTAGAAAGGTACCGACGAAGGTGTTAAACAATAATGCAATACCGAGCGTTTTCGACTTTCGCATTCACTTAAAATAACGTAGAACTATTATTCGACATCCTTTACCAGCAAGACAACGGCAATACCTATTTGCCTATTAGGTATAGACGTAACTAAGTACTTACTGGTACTAAGTATATTTCAGGTTTTGTTACAAGAAAAATAGCTAAGTCTGTTAAATGTTCCATATGTGCAGATGCGATATTCGCATCAGAGAGTCATTCAAAGCTTTTAACTAGAAAAAATCGTGGAGGATTGTTGCACGTATCAAGCGATGCATTAAAAATTTGCCAAATTGCTGAAAATGTGTTCAGGTTTTACATTCAATCCACACCACACCGCGTTGTAAACAAAATGGTTATCAGCAGTCTAAGAAAAATAAATAACAGTTACCAATAAATTCGA